AAAAGCTGTTTTAAAATATGTATTGTTCACTTTCCCTTTGGACTTGGTGTTCAAGTAAAAAAAACTCACAATTCATACTCATAATTTCAAAACAGTTTAACAGCTTTTAGGCCACAGCTCAACTACGACGATGACGACGACAACAACAGCTGTATGAAAACTCGTCCAAACAAAAAGCTTCTTGTTGGCATAAAGGCTTCTTTATAGTATAAAACTTGTAGTATAAGTTCAACTACTATAGCTAGCTGGTTATTATCAGCACGCAACTTAAATTTAAGTATGCAACGTACCACACCACACTTTCCAAAACGTACAGACTAATTCTTGGCGGGTTTTAAATGGTACTTGATATCAAACCACATTTATATTTTTTAACGTCTTTTTTTTCATACAAAAATTTTTAAGGTCCTGTTTTGTGAGTGTTAGTGGTGACTCGTGCCTTTTGTTTTTAATATTTGTTTTATTTGAAAAAATAAGCTGTTGCTGTTTTAACTTAAATCAGTTAAAATTATGGCAGTTAATGTTTATGAAGCTAAGATTTTCCAAGCAACCATAATAAACACTTTTTAAAAGTGTCTCCAAAAGTTGGGTTTTTTTTTATTTAAATCTCTGTTTTATACCCTGTTTGTGCACTCAATAATGATATGAAAAATTATTGTTATTGGGCCCTGCTGCTTGTTAAAACTGGCTAAATGCATAGAATTGGTGAAAAGAAGAGACTCAATTGTTATTTAAGATAATTTTATGCTGGAAATCATTAAGCTTTTTATGACTATACAAACGTAATTAAAGATTAGATTTATATAAATCGTAACAAGTTGACCAGAAAGTTGAGAACCAGTAAGTGTAGAGAAGAAGTATGTATGTAAAAATGTTTGAACATAAGACAAAAACAAAAAAAAAACAACTACAAACATTGACTTCCTGTCTTAAGTAAAACTGTAGAAGATATTGACCATGGCTGGTCATAAACTTTAGTTGTTTGTTTTTCATTGTTGTTGTTGTAGTTGTTGGCTAAATCTGTTTAAGCCATCATTTAAGAGTGTGTAATTTGATATGTGTATTATTATTATTGTTGTTTTTTTGTGTGTATTTCAACAACAACAACAAAAAATGTGCAAAAAAATTCTTATGGTTTTTAAATGTCATCACCATATAATTTGCATATTTGCGTATTGCTCAGTGTGTATTTTTTTACGTTTTAATCGTGGCTTTAAGATCTTCTTTAAATGGCACGACTTTGTCAGTTAGTGTTTGCTTAAATATATAAACATTTACGAGGCACAAACCGACAGACAGACAAACGGATGGACTCACTAACAGACATATTTATTTTTGCTTTAAGCTTAATGATCAATGAAAAGTTTGTCATTGGAGCACAGAGCTTGTTGTACAAATAAAAGAGTAAAAAATATGGTTTTAAAGTGCGTTTTAGTCATTTATGTTAAAATGGCTCCATATTCAGTTTTAATGGGTATTTAATTGGAAATTAAAGCTTTTTTATTTCAATTTTGGGTAATTTGTTTAGAATTTGTTAAAAAAGTGTTTAAAAGAGACTTTTTAAATCTTAATAGTTACTAAGAAAACTGTAGCAATGTCGAGTTAAAGCCATTTCACCAAATAATTAATAATGACAAGAGTTTGCTGAGAGCTGACATTACTTTGTAATGCCTACTTTATAGATTACAAAGTAATAGATTCGAAAGCTTCGAAGTTTAATATATTTTTGGTTCACATGAGAGAGAAGGAGTGAAAAGTTTCTCTCTTTATATATAGAGAACTTTTGTAATGATTCTTAAAAGAAAACATTAAAGACTTTTTATTGAAAAAATTCAAAAGCTTTCTATGTAGAGAATGTTTATAGAAAACTAACGATAATTACTTTTATTATCAAAAGCTTTCCAATAAATACTCTCCTTATAGAAGATTTTCGATAAATATTCCTTTAATGTAAAAGCTCAAAAGTAGAGAGAAGGAGTGCAAAGTTTCTCTTCATAGATGCATTTCGGCAAAAACTGTCTTTATAAAGAACTTTCGACAAAGCTTGTTAAAAGAAAACATTAGATTCATTTCATTCATTTATAGAAAACTTTCAATAGTTTCCTATAAATATTACATTTATAGACAACTTTTGAAAGAAATTCTCTCTATAAGGACTCTTTTTATAAAGAGCTTTTGATAAAAACTTTCTATTGAAAATATTCGAAAGCTTTCTCTTTATGGAAAACTTTAAGTAATGATTCTTACAATGGAAAAATATTGATAAATACTCTTATAGAATATTTTCGATAAATATTCTCTTAAGATAAAACTTTCGATATATATTCTCTTTCAATAAAAACTTACTATAAGAGAGCTTTTACAATTAAAATTGTTGATAATGAATTTCTTTAAACTTTATATAAATAATCTAGTAGACCGGAGATGGTGGACCGGAGGTGGTGGTTTCAATTTCCACCTGAGGCCCGATAGAGGCCTAGGTGTTTTTCTTCGGATTTGATGTGCATACTTCCTTTCTAACTAACTAATAATGACAAGTGCAATGTCTCCCTCTTACCATTTAGATTACACAGTAATAGTTTTGAAAGCTCAATAGTTTATTATGCTTTAAGTTTTTGATTCTCACAATATTATATTCATTAATTTTGCGATGAGAGAGAGAAGGAGAGAGGAAATGAAGTGTTATGACTGATTACTAAGCACTGTTTACCAGTAAACCCTAAAGTAGCTAAGAAGTTATTGACCCATTTAAATTAGCGCGAAATTCTATATAGAAATCGTTTCCCTAGTAACACAAATTCCTTACAAAAACCTCTCTCAATATTGCTGTTAAAAACATATATATAAAAACAAATGTTTGTTTTCTAAAAATTGTTAAATGTTAAGCCATAGACATTTGCTATTTCTAAGCTGGCCAAAACAACCAAAAAAACAACTTGAAAGATTCGTTGCGGTTGTCGGTTTAAAAGCGCATGCGTACCTTTACTTATATAAAGAAACAAGTTGACCTTTTTTTCTTGTGGTCGTTTTTTTTTTGTTTATTTCTTAAAAAACTATACCCGTTTTCCAAGTAAAAAATATCAGATATTTAAAACATACAAACACACATACACATAAAACAAAAAATCAAGCCGAAAAAAACCTTTACCCGCTTAAAATTGTAGAATTCATATATAAACTGTTTTCTGACGGCCATACCGTCTAAAGCAGAAAAAACAAAACATACAAACAAAAAAACTTTACAATCTGAAATCTGTACGAGTGATAAATTGAAAATTAATGAAGTGAAAATAGATGGAACGGATCGCAAATTGCGCCAAGCCAATAAAATATTTTGACATTTGGAGTTATCGTCTTAATCTGCTTCGATGACTTTTTGAAAATATATACATACATATGTATATGTGGATGTTTGTTTATATGTATAAGTATAAGAGTATTTTACTTTTAACTTAAATGCACACCAAATACTGTTGCAAGTAGTTACCCATACATTAACCGTGAGAGGGTTGCTTGATTTAGGTAAAATACTAAAATTGAAATTTGTTTTTAAAGAAACGGTTTTTTTAAAGAACTTTTTTTACACTGTTTCCTGTGTGGGTCAGTTTAGTGGGTCACACTTTAATAGGGAAGCTTAATGTTTCTAGCTTAGAGAAGAGTTTAAATAAAACTTTTAAAGCCAAACAGCTTCAGACATACAGACTTGTAATTACAAATAACCCCTTTATCTGATAGCTTATTACTTCTAGTTTATCAATTTTGAAAGCTTAAGCTAAACTTAAACAGGAATTGAAACTTTGAATAAATTCAAATAAATATAAATTACACTAAAGCAAGCTTTTCTAAATCCTTAACCCTTAAATATACTTTGTTGACTATAAATTATTATCTTTTAACATTTATGTAAATCTGAATGGTAATCGTTGGTTTGGTGCCAACAAAATTAGAAAAATTAGTTTAAAAATCGATCGATCTATCTATCTATCTATCTATCTATCTATCTATCTATCTATCTATCTATCTATCTATCTATCTATCTATCTATCTATCTATCTATCTATCTATCTATCTATCTATCTATCTATCTATCTATCTATCTATCTATCTATCTATCTATCTATCTATCTATCTATCTATCTATCTATCTATCTATCTATCTATCTATCTATCTATCTATCTATCTATCTATCTATCTATCTATCTATCTATCTATCTATCTATCTATCTATCTATCTATCTATCTATCTATCTATCTATCTATCTATCTATCTATCTATCTATCTATCTATCTATCTATCTATCTATCTATCTATCTATCTATCTATCTATCTATCTATCTATCTATCTATCTATCTATCTATCTATCTATCTATCTATCTATCTATCTACCTATCTATCTATCTATCTATCTATCTATCTATCTATCTATCTATCTATCTATCTATCTATCTATTCTAAGATCTAAGTTAAATCTGAACTCTTAAAGTCATGTACTTTAAGCTTTATTAAAACTTCAATTGAAAGCTTAAAATTAGTTTTAACCCAAATATCGTTCGGGTTACCCCCAAACCGAGTTAAACTAAAGCTAAAAATACAGTTAGTTAAACCAATGCTTAGTTAAACTAAGGCTTAAACGTAAACTTACAAAAAACAAAGAAATTTTACATTTTTCTAAGGAAATGGTTTATTCTAAATGATCCATATTCCAAAGTAAGGCATGAATTGCTATTTTAAAACACAAACTTACAAACACGTATCCAAGTACAAACGTGTACTTGACCAAGTTAAGTCATGAAAAAAACGAAACAACAACAATAACAAAAAATTAAAACAAACCAAAACAAAAAAGACCTGTTTGAAAAATTCCGACTTATATACAATTTCGTTTTTTATTTCTTACTTTATTTTTTGCTGTTCTAACTTGTTTATTGTGTGCTTTTTAGGTTTTTTGGCCTCAAAAACTGATCCACATTAATTTGTTGTTTTCTTCAATTTTTCAGTTACTTGGCGGTAATGTAAGTCAAACATCAGCCGCATTATTGACATCGTCAGCACACAATGCTCCATCGCCCTTATCGGGTCGCAATGAAAATTCTCTCAGTCCATCTGGCAACTCAACGTCGTCATCTTCATCATCGGTTTCATCAAGCGGTGGCGGCACAACAAATGTTGGTCCCCTAAGTCCAGGTGCAATGTCACAGACATCAACTAATAATGCTGGTAGTGTAGCAGCAGTAAATACAACAACACTTGGTCATTCTTCACTAGTTAATGGGCCGGAAGGTACAGCAGCCAATGCAGCATCTTCAATGTTGGCTGCAGCCGCTGTTGCAGCAGCAGCAGCTGGCGGCTCCACATCAAATAATTCACCAGGCAGCATTAGCACTAGTGGTGGTGTTGGTTCAGGAGGTGGTTGTTGTGAAAACGGTCGTCCCATTATGACAGATCCTGTGTCTGGTCAAACAGTGTGCTCTTGCCAATACGATTCAGCACGTTTAGCTTTATCCAATTACTCACGTATGCCCACGGGTAGTGTAGGTGTTTATGGCACAGCATATCCATCAAGCGAACAAAATCCCTATCCCAGTATTGGTGTGGATAGTTCAGCCTTCTATACTCCACTGGTAAGTAGTCTGTTCGTCATAGAGTAATATTTATTTAAATCAGCATTTAACAAGCCTAAACAGAAATTAAAAGGATGCTGTTGTTGTGTTTACCATTTTATGTAAATTTTAGTTTTTACCTTTACGCACACACAGACACACACATGCATACAGACCTATAGATTTTAATTACCTTGTAACTGTCAAATTGTTAATTGGATTAGTTTTGTTTACGTCTGTGTGTGTGTGTATGTGTGCATACTCTGGCTTTTAAATACTTGCAACATGCCTCATGATTATGTTGTTGTTATTACTATTATTATAGTTGCTGCTGTTTGTTGCTTGTGCAGCCTATTATCATTGTTAGTGTTGAGTCATTAAGATAGTTGGATTTTTATTATTTTTGAACTATAGTTTCGTTTTTTTAATCCTTTTAATAATAAATTTATATTGACAGCATGCTTAGATAGAAAATCATGTTTTAAAGAAAAAAATTTAATTATTCCAATATGTAGTATTGTAATTTAATTTACAAGCATTTAATTTTGAGATAATGGGGTTATTTGTAATTATAAATCGTTTTCCAGATGAGAAGTATAGCGAGTCAATAGACCCTTCGAATACAACGATTAAATCTGGTCAAAACCCGTTTAACTGCAAAAAAGCCTTATAAAATTGTTTTACTGAAATTAAAACATACAAATCCTATAAAATTCCATAAAATACTAAAATTTATCTGTGCTGAGAAGATAGACTTTGGAAAGCTTTTTCAATTAGTCGCATATTTGGATGGATTTGTTCCTCTTAGCTACAATTACCGTTGTTACCTTTTCAAATTAGTTCTTTCTTTTAAAATTTTTTCTATTAAAACTCTTTTCGCTACTTTGTTCTTGTGTTTAAATCCTCTTAATATTTAATATTATTGTCAATGTTAAACACATGTACAAACATGTCAATAAAAAGTAATAATATCATCTTTGCTTTTTTCATAAAAACTATATAAAAACAACAATAAGAGTAAACAAACTATTGTCATTGACAATTACATATAAAATGACAACAACAATAGCAGCAGCAACAACAGCAATATTACTAGAACAATATCAACATCATCATTGAACCCTTTCAAGCCCAAACCAATAATATTTGTTTTAACAGCAAATAACAATAACATCCATCCATCCACTACCACCCACTACTCACATTTTCACACATGCTCCTCTACATGTTTTGCAACATATGGCGGATTATATAGGGCATTTAACTTTTTCGGGATTTTAATAAAAGAGATTTAGGAATAATACATAATTATATGTATAATTGAAGGTAAATTTGGACGATGTTAAGCGATAGGATTGAAGCTAAATCGGATATAGGTATATAATGTACTATAATCAAGACTATATCCAGAGCTAGAATTTAGGCTTAACTTGAACTATATTAGGGTTTTGACTGGAACTAAGTCGTAGCTATATGAAGAACTACAATAGAAGCTAAATTCAGACTATAAAAAAGACCTAAACTTAAGACTATATTCGGATTATACAGAGGGCTATGGTTAAAGCCAAATTGGGGCTACGTAAAGAGCTACTATTAAAGTTTAATTGGGATAACATAAAGATCAGGAACTAAAGCTAAATAGGGATTATATAAAGAGTTACAATTGATAGTTAAATCGGGTATATATAAAGTCGTACAATTAAGTCTAAACTAGAACTATATAAAAAGCTATGATTGCGGCTAAACTGGAACTTTATGAAGAATATAACTGGAGCTTTATTTCGCCTATATGAACAACTACAATCGAAGCTTAATTTAGACTTTATAAAGAGCTAGATTGGTTCTCAATCAGGGTTATATACATAAAGAGCAAGGAGTATAGTTAAATGGAGACCATGTAAGGAGTTACAACTGAAAGTTAAATCGGTGATAAATAAGGTACTACAAACTAAACTAGAACTATAAACTGGAACTTTATTGAGAATATGACTGGAGTTAATTTGGGACTATATGAAGTACTATAAATGAAACTAAATTTAGACTAAGTAAGGAGCTAGAATTGGTACTAAATTTGGACTATAAGAGGGGTTCGATTAAAGCTAAAATGCGACAATATTTACAGTAAATGTTAGATTGGATCTATTATATAAAGAGGTAAATTGGGACTATATAAGGCGCTACGATAGAAACTAAACTTATACAACATATAGAGCTACGATTTGTATTACACTAACGACTATATAAAGAACTTGGATTAGTGATAAATTTGGACCACACAAAGAGCCACAATTGAAGTTAAATGGAGCTATATATTGAAGCTAAAGAGGGACTATGATTACAGAGAAATTGGAAATATTAAAATAAATGTAGTTGAAACCAAACTGGTGATATATAAACAAAAAATTGGGATGATATAAAGATCAACGATTAAGTTAAAGGAGGACTATATAATGAGCTAAACTGAGGCCTACGAATGAGGCTTATGAGGAATGGCTACGAAGTCCAAATTTACAATATACAATGAATTGAAGCAAATTGGGACAACTAGCTAATATAACCTATCACGAACTGCTGGCTAAATATAAAGCTAACCAGAAGTTTGACCTGGAGTCAATGCCTCCGAAAAGGACCACCATCTCTTTATAAACCAGATTGAAGTCTGTCGTCACTTTAGTGTCCCTTTTGTAAGAGAGTGCGGAGACAGTTATCACTTTATTGTCCCCAAGTAATCTAGTAACTATGCAGTTAAGACATTACTTAGGCGAAAAGGTTCATTGCCATGTATTAACGTATTAGGATTAGCTTTCTGACTATCTCTACGTAATCAATGAAGTGACGATTCATGAATCTGCTCATTATAAACGAGATTGAAGTCAGTCTTTACTGTAGTAACCATTTTGTAAGTGAGAAAGAAGACAGTAGTTACTTTATTATTCCCAAGTGATCTATGAAGTAAACACTTAAGCAAAAACTTAAGCGAAAAGTTTCATTGACAAGCATTAAAACTCTTTTGGACTAGCTTACTGACTGTCTCTTCGTAATAAATGGACAAGCATATGTTAAAATTTCATTATATAATTCGAATATGGTTTCACCCATATATTTATAACCGTATTGTATTGAAAACAACCATTATGATTTTTTTGCTTTGTTTGCACAATTTTTTTCTTGTGTTTTTTTATTATGATGTGTATTAGTTTATTGTTGCTGCTGTGTATGTGTAAATTTTATAAATAATTTATTTAGAATTTTATTTTAAAATATTCATTTTATTGTTTGGGTTGTCGCTTGACAATTTTTGCTCCCAACCCATCATCATCATCAAAATTGTCAACATCCTCGCATACACACATCATCAACGTCACTAAAATAGTACACACATACATACAAATAAATGACACACACTTTCAAGTCACAACTACTACTAGTTGGTAGTGAGTGTTTAGTGTTGTCACCTCAACATACTTCATTATATATATTAGGCTGGTTCCATGTCGATACCAAAAAGTTTGCGGTATGAATTTCTTATTAAGACTATAATTCTTTAAATTCTACTTATTTGAGTAAGATTTTCAGAAATTGTTTTCTTTATTATTTGAAAACTTCCATATTTTTTGTTTTGCCAAGAATGAAGCCTTTCTATTAAACACAAACACACAATATAGCAATAATTTGAATTATTTTATAAATTTTATATTTTTACTTTATTTTCAATTTAAACTTTTACTTGTCAAAAAAAAAGCCCAGCCTCTAAATACTCAGACTACAATAAGTATTTTATTTATTTTAGAATATTAACGTTTGTATATGTTGTTCAAAAAAAAAAAAAAACTATTATTGTGGGTGTAGTTGGCAAAATACAAAAAAAAAAAAAAAAAAACACAATCTTTTTGTTATTTAATAAATATTTCTATTGTGTCGAGATCTTTAATATAAGAGTTTACCATTTAGTTTAAAAAACACTATACAGCAACATAATAAAACAAAACTTTTTCAATTATTAAAAAAATGTTTTTTTTTTTTTTTTTTAATAATGAAAAATATTTTATTGATTTTATAGACTATTTCTATTATAAATGGTTTTGTGAATAGAATTGAAGTCAGAGAGTGTTGTCTAAAATTTGATAAGAAATTCAATTGAAAAAAATAATATTATAAACATGTTTTCTATTAAGGTTATTGATGAATAAAAGGTTAGATATTTTGTTTTATGAACATTTCTATGAAAACAATTTAAATTAAAGTAATTGAAATTTTTTCTAAAGCACAATAAACATTATTAGAATGAATAGCAAACGGCACATTTTTGAAGCAATTCATCCTAAAGTTACAGATTTCAAAATTTAAAAAATTTTAAATAAATTTTTCCAAAAATTTTTATTTTTATGGAAACTTCTCCAATTTTTTTTAGAAGATTTTCCAAATTTTTCTATTTTTAAATAGAAAATTTTCACAAAATTTTCTATTTTTATAGAAAATTTTCACAAAATTTTCTATTTTTATAGAAAATTTTCACAAAATTTTCTATTTTTATAGAAAATTTTCACAAAATTTTCTATTTTTATAGAAAATTTTCACAAAATTTTCTATTTTTATAGAAAATTTTCACAAAATTTTCTATTTTTATAGAAAATCTTCACAAAATTTTCTATTTTTATAGAAAATTTTCACAAAATTTTCTATTTTTAAAGAAAATTTTCACAAAATTTTCTATTTTTATAGAAAATTTTCACAAAATTTTATATTTTTATAGAAAATTTTCACAAAATTTTCTATTTTTAAATTTTCTCTTCTCTATAGAACATATTCTAAATTTTCTCTTCTTTATAGAAAATTTTCGAAATTTTCTTTTCTTTACAGAAAATTTAAGACAAAAAATTTAAAATATAAAACATTTTCCAAATTTTCTCTTCTTTATAGAAAATTTTCGAAATTTTCTCTATAGAACATATTCGAAATTTTTTCTTCTTTATAGAAAATTTTCGAAATTTTCTCTTCTTTATAGAAAATTTTCGAAATTTTCTCTTCTTTATAGAAAATTATCACAAAATTTTCTCTTCTTTATAAAAAATTTTTACGAATTTTTTTCTTCTTCGAAATTCTTTACAGAAAATTTTAGAAACTTGCTCTTTACAGAAAATTTTCGAAATTGTCTCTTCTTTATAAAACATTTTCGAAATTTTCTCTTCTTTATAGAAAATTTTCGAAATTTTCTTTTCTTTACAGAAATTTTTTTACATTCTTAAAGAAACATTTCGAAATTTCTCTCCTTTTTTATAGAAAACTTTCGAAATTGAAAATTTTATGAAACATTTTCGAAATTTTCTCTTCTTTATAGAAAATTTTCGAAATTTTCTTTTCTTTACAGAAATTTTTTTACATTCTTAAAGAAACATTTCGAAATTTCTCTCCTTTTTTATAGAAAACTTTTGAAATTTTCTCTTCGTTATAGAAAATATTCCAAATATTCTCTTCTTTATAGAAAATTTTCGAAATTTTCTCTTCTTTACAGAAAATTTAAAACAAAAAATTTTAAATATAAAACATTTTCGAAATTTTTTCTTCTTTATAGAAATTTTTGAAATTTTCTCTTCTTTATAGAAAATTATCGACATTTTCTCTTCTTTATACTAAATTTTCTCTTCGTTATAGAAAATATTCCAAATTTTCTCTTCGTTATAGAAAATATTCCAAATATTCTCTTCTTTATAGAAAATTTACGAAATTTTCTCTTCTTTATAGAAAATTTTCGAAATTTTCTCTTCTTTATAGAAAATTTTCGAAATTTTCTCTTCTTTATAGAAAATTTTCGAAATTTTCTCCTCTTTATAGAAAATTTTGGAAATTTTCTCCTCTTTATAGAAAATTTTGGAAATTTTCTCCTCTTTATAGAAAATTTTGGAAATTTTCTCCTCTTTATAGAAAATTTTGGAAATTTTCTCCTCTTTATAAAAAGTTTTTGAAATTTTCTCCTCTATAGAAAATTTTTGAAGTTTTCTCCTCTTTATAGAAAATATTCGAAATTTTTTCTTCTTTATAGAACATTTTCGAAATTTTCTCTTTATAGAAAATTTTCGAAATTTTCTCTTTATAGAAAATTTTCGAAATTTTCTCTTCATTATAGAAAATTTTCGAAATTTTCTCTTCATTATAGAAAATTTTCGAAATTTTCTCTTCTTTATGGAAATTTTTCGAAATTTTATATTCTTTAAAGAAAATTTTCTCTTTATAAACAATTTTCAAACTTTTATCTTTTTTAAAAAAACATTCAAAATTTTATCTTCTTGTTCTATTTTTTATAACAATTTTTCGAAATTTTCTCTTTTTTCGAAATTTCTCTCCTTTTTTATAGAAAACTTTCGAAATTTTCTCTTTTTTATAAAAAATTTTTTAAATTTTCTCTTTCTAAAAACGTTTCGAAATTTCTCTCAGTTTCTATAGAAAACTTTCGAAATTTTCTCCTTTTTAAAGAAAATTTTCGTAATTTTTTGCATTTTTATAGAAAACTTTCAAAAACATTTCTCTGATTTATAAAAAAATTTCGACTTTTTTTTTTTTTTTGAGAGTTTAAATATTTTTTCAGAAAATTTTAAAAATTATGTCATTTTATACCAAATGTTTTGAAAATTACTCTTTTAGAAAATGTTTAAATTATACTCCTTTTATAAAAAACAACAGTTAACTAATAATTTTCCCAATTTCTCTTCTCCTTCCAGAGCAATCCTTATAGTCTTAAAGAATCCACCACCGGCAGCGATATGTCCGCTTGGTCAACAGCCGGTTTACAGCCCACAACTGGTTATTATTCATACGATCCAACATTTGCTTATGGGTAAGTTTATTATTTTACAACAATTTTTCTTTTTCACTTTAAATATTTCTTGATTTATATACGAGTGTGACTATTTAAAATTCCAGTCATAAAGTAATTAAACAAACAAACATACAAAACAACTTAAGTGATTTATTACTTTTATAAAACTGAGACAAAAACAAATAAAAAATACATTCAAATTATCTTAATTTTGTATAAAATACAAACATTTAAATAAACTCTTATCATAAGAAAAATATAAAATTCAACAAATCTTTTAACACTTAATAAATTATAAAAAATGAATATCAATGAAGTTTTTTTTTTTTTTTTTTTGTATTATCAGAGTATATGAATGCACAGGCCATGTACTGCAACAAGTCCAAGCATGTTGCTAAGCATACAATTTATAGTACAGAAATTTTTTAAAGTTAGAAAAAATCGTTTGAATTTAGTTTTTTTATTCTATTAAATACAAGTTTATAGCAATGCATCTTAAAGAAAATATTTATAGATTTAATATTATTGAATAAAATTTTGCTGTGATTTGCCTTGGGCCAGACCAAATAAGCTTTAGTAGCTATGGATTCTTAAGCAATTTTTCTTTAAGTTTTACTTTTACCAATGAAAAAAGTTGGATTTTATTTCTTTTTTTGTTGTTGCTAATATAAGGAATAATATGTGGTGTATTGAAAAGTATTAAAAATTGTCTACTTTACGTTATAGGGGGTGGCCAATTTAAAGGGGATTTTTAAAATTTTCTTACTATGAATGAGTTGAAACCAATGAAAGACTTTAAATCTTTTATTATGTTATATATGTTATATATGAAAAGTATATTTTTTGTCACATCACGTCACGCAGTTTAACTGACAATATCTTAGGACCGTTCCTTTTGATTGGTCCTTTCTTTATCCTCTGTATAGAGCTATTAGAGATCTACATAAAAATATAAATAGTTTAAATATATATAAATATTTTCCGTGGAAATGCCCATATAACAAAATATTCTTTAACTTTTCTTTTCTGTCCCCTTTAAATGGTCCCTTCCCTGTATAAAAGTTTTATTTCTTACACTTTTTATTTGGTTTTAACATTCAACAAGTGCCTTTCAGAAATTTTTTAGATAAAAAGCAAAGAAAACTTATGAAAAAGTATGGAATGAAAAAAGTTTAGCATATGCTGGGGTTTTCACCAATAAAAATGGAAATTATAAGTTTTCTTTACACCATCAGACATTTTACGTACAACTTAAATATTTAATCCACTTAACGTTAAAAGCTTTTTCAATTCAACTTTCTATATTTTTTTCACTTTTTGAACAAGAAAAATTCTTTAAATAAATATTATTTTTTTTTATATTTCTATATAATTTTAGTTATGGTGCTTCTTATGACTTGGCATCTAGACGTAAAAATGCCACCCGAGAATCTACGGCCACCTTAAAAGCCTGGCTTAATGAACATAAAAAGAATCCTTATCCCACTAAAGGTGAAAAAATCATGTTGGCCATAATCACTAAAATGACTTTGACTCAAGTCTCCACATGGTTTGCCAATGCACGTAGACGTTTGAAGAAGGAAAACAAAATGACCTGGGAACCAAAGAATCGCACTGAAGATGATGACGATGATGCCATGCTGTCGGATGATGAGAAGGAATTGGAGAAAAATGATAAAGTATTAACGAATGGTTCAGTAGGAGGCAATATGTATGGCCAGCAAATGCTTAAAGGTAGGTGGATGAGGGGTTTTAACTACCCTAAACTTTTGTTTTAGTTTTTTTGGAAAAAAATCCCTTTAAAATTAAAGTTTTTTATATGAAAGCCTTTAAGAAATCTCCTTGAAATTAGTTAGTTAATGTCAAAGGTTAAGCAACAAAAAGCCTCCCCTTAAACTTTTTCAAAAACAGAAAAGTCACACCCCCCAACTCAAAACAAAACAAAAAAAACCTAAGTACACTTAATGTAACGTTCAAATACAAACCGGAAGTTGACAGCACTTGACTTAAGGATAAGGAAAAAACAACAGAAAACAAGTGCTTTCAGCATAAAACTGTAACGAAATAAGAATAAAAGGACCTTTAAGTTTAAGCCTCAAAAAAGGGGGTTAAAAGATTTAAAGATTTATTAAACATTTAAATCATTTCAAATTTATAAAAAAATTAATTTCTTTAAACTTTTCCATTTATTTCTAGAACATGACCAACTTAAAACCAATCACCATCACAATGTTAAACAACATGATTTAAAGGATGATGAAGAAGATCGTAAACCGGAAAATTTAACCGCCAGTAGACAATTGGAAAATTACAATACCGCCTCATTATATGGTACAACAGCAACGGGACATCATGCGAATAACTATCATCCTTATCAAAGTCAACAGCAACAACCGCATCACAACCAAAGTCTTTACTATCAACAGCAGCAGCAGCAACATCAACAGCAACAAGGTTATTTAGCTAATCCTGCCTCAGCTATTAGAGATGAGTGTGGCATACCTATACCAGCCACAAAACCAAAAATTTGGAGTGTGGCCGATACAGTGGCTAATAAAACACCACCACCACCCATTAGCAGCAGTGGCCAGGCAGCCTATATGAGCAATAGCCAGCAACAGCAATTGGCTGCACAATCGTATTATGCCAATAATTTACAAATAAATAATCATTTGGCCAACAATTCACCCCTGTCCATGATGAGTAGTTATGTTAATGCCGCTGCTTCACCCTATTCACGCCTCAACTCAGCCTATCAGCCTGCGGCCAGTAATTATAGCACCACGGCGGGACAAATGTCAAACAATAATAATAATAACAACAGCTCAAATACCTCAGCAAATATGATGCAGCATATGACACAACAATATGCTGCCCAAAATTTACACACACAACAGCAACAACAACAACAGCAGCAACAACAATTACAGCAACAGGGTCGCTTGGGGTTTCCTGAGATACAACCTGATACACCACCCCAAACACCACCCAATATGAAACATGCCAACAACACCAGCATGCATAGTTTAATGAACAGTACTTCCTCCTCTTCCAATTCTTTGGCATATGCGGGAAATTCAAATGTTTTGAATACTTCCTATGGCAGTGATGTTTCATCGCATACTTCACGCTCAGGTTTAGAAATGCAATAATTGATGAAAAACCTTTTATGGGGTTTTCATTCTATCACTCCAAACAACAACAACAATTATTCCTAAAGGGTTAAGTGCAACTAACTTTACTATATAATTATATACTATATATTTTATTAATTTAGCTTAAATTGTAAGTAGATTTTCTATAGCGACAAAAGGCAGAGCTGTAAAGTAATGAAATGTTTATTACTTTTTCTTTAAATGATTAAAGTTTTTTTTTTTAATTTTATTTAAAACAAGAGTTGTGTTTAGTGAAGAAATTAAATCATGTTATTGGGTCCAAAATTAGAGTGGCACGGTGGAGCAAAGGTAACAACTTGGGGAAATATATTGTCGTTGTTTCACTTGCTGTCTAGATAAAGGCAAGGAGTTTACGAATATTATTCGATTAAAAGTTTTCTCTTCGGCTCCCTCAGATCTTCTAGTAACGGGGCTGTGAGGTTTCGGAGTAGGAACAACTAGCTATACCCAGTGTGCTTTGCTACCCAAAAGCAATATAAATAAATATCCCACTTAACGATTTTGAAGATTCTAACTACAATAGTTTAGCAGATATAATTTATTATTGCAAGTTCGCCAATTTCTAAAATTTGAAGTTTCTGCCTCTAATAGTTTCTCAGATATACGAATTTTTTCTATTTAATACATATGGGGCTCCAAGCCTCCCCAATATCATTAGTAGTCCGCCAATTTATGTTTATATGGATTTTAAAGTACTTTGTGTAAAATTTTAAGATTCTAACTGTAATAGTTTCCAATATAAAAAAATTTTTGTATTTAATTTATATTGGGAAGTGCCACGCCCCCTACTGCTAGTCCGACCTCTTTTTGTCCTAAATAATCATATTGATCCTAAAATGGCACCGACAAAATTTGAGGACTCTAACTGTTACATTATCTGAGATATACAGATTTTATATTTTATTAATATGGGCGTGCCTCCTCGCCCACTTGAAATTGCAACATTAAAAGTAGCCTATTCCAGACATACAGGAATACACTGTGAAATCGGTTTAGCCGTTTAGTAGTCTATAAACTTCAAACTAACATTCCCCTTCTTGAAATCTCGAAATATAAAGTAGCCTATAGTTTTTTCCAGACATCATTCCTGTATGTCCACTGTCAAAATTTCAAGATGATCGGTTCAGCCGTTTCGCCGTCTTCAAACAAACAAACCAACAAATAAACACACATTCATTTTTATATACATATATATATAGATTCAGTATACCGGGAACTATTAGAGATATCGTAATGAAATTTCACATGGTTTGAACTAAGGTTTTTTGGATATGATTAGACTTTGTAGGCGAAATGGGATCCAGTGGGTGTTAATCGATAAAAAAAAGTATTCCTTAAGAAGATCTACAAACATCCTTTTCCAGTTTTTTAAAATGTGGCAGGTCTACAGAGGGTTGGACAATGTTTCTTAAAATATCTAATCATTTCTGATATAAAAACTTTCTAAATCTTGTCTCTATATAAAGGTAGACGCATCCAAAGTTGCAACATATAGAATGGGCCGTATTTAGGAGGGCTTTTTTGCAAATAATTCAAAAGTTTTTATGTAAAGATATTATTTTCGGGACTATACCCAATTATTATATGATTCGGAACAAGAACTTAATGCATAAACTTTTAGAAATCAAATTTGGTTAAAATGGGTACAGTCCCCACCAGCCGTATCTAAACTTAGTCCATTTTGAAAAAAATATATAATTTTGAGTAAAAAATTCCTAAAACACAAACCATCGATCCTCATAAGGTTTATATATTTGCAAGGCCCTATATATACCTTAAAAACATGCAGAGTTTGATGACTATCACACGGTAAATAACTTCACAGTGGGCACTTTTATCGAAAATAAACTCACCTTTTAGAAAAAATTTTTCCCGTTTTAGGAATTTGGTATTTTTATATATAAAATGATAAAACTGGCAATAAATTAAAAAAATGTGGATCTAACTAAATCCAAAATTTTCTTCAGATATCTTTATCGGTTCAAATTTTCTATTAATTCAAAAGATTTCATATTTAAAAAGTTTAGAAAATGGAAAATTTCTTCATTTAATTTCATCATAAAAGCTTTCTTAGGAACTTATACTAATATGGTACTTTTTGGAAAGTTATTTTCTTAAAGAAAAGTTTTGAAAGAAATAACGCTTAGAATGCATTACTACAGTTAACCCCAGGTCCTTTCAAAGTTGAGTTATTTTATAAAAAAATAAAATTTAGACTTAAATGTCATAAAGCTTAAAGCGGGGATTACAAAACAGTTACAAATAGATACTCGGATGTATGTTTTTATCAAAGCTCCGATCCTAATATGGACTTAATAGGCAAAATTTCTAAAAATCTTAAAATCTGATTTTACATTTTCCTAAAATTTACAAAACAATTTATACAAAAATTCCCCCAAACTATTAAAAAGTCGTAAACTAAAGCTTTTTATAATATTTTTTAAGTTTTTTTTTTATTATATTGTTAATGCCCCTGTTTAAGATGGATTAGTTCGAGCATTATGTAGTAAAAAACCCAAAAAAAAAACTTCCCATATAAATACCTGCTATATGTTGTGGCAAAAACCATTTTTCATTGCAAATAAACTTTGAGTTTATGACTATTAATAATATTTTTAATGCTTAATAAAAAATGCGGTGTTTTGAGGAAGTAGACCAAATTTAAGTGGAGATAAAAATATGACTCTTGTGCCAACACATGTTTGAACATGTGTTTTTTTCTTCATTTATTTCATTGGCTTGTTTTTTCGTTTATATTCCTAAGCGCTACATATTTAATTAATTGCTTTACTCATACTTAACAAATACAAATTTTAAAGCGGCGCGTACTTAATACGGATAAAAAAAATTGCAATGGATTATTTATATTACAGTTATAAAAAAAGTTTAATGACTTCATTTTAACACTTATTCACAGATATTTAGTCATTTGTAGAGATCAGTGAGATAAGTTTCAGAATTAAAGGTATTTGCAACGAATTGTATATACCCTGCAGGTAATTGTTTAGATAAAACTGATCATATAAAGATCTTTATTACAGAGTTTAATAAACTTTCATACTTAACCAACTCCTCGATCTAAAATTTTACCTTTAAATCTATAAGAGATCTTAGTAAAAAACACGAAAAGTTGGGATAAACAATCTACCGATCGAATAGAGGATCTTTCAAATCTTTAAAGTCCGATCAAATAGTGGATCTTTCAAATCTTTAAAGGTCGATCTAATAGTGGATCTTTCAAATCTATATAGAGAAGTTCCTTAAAATGTTTATTTGTAAATCATGGTATCATTTCAAAGAATTTAGAACAATAACGACAGTATGATCTTGGAAATCTCAGGGTCCCTACAATTCGAAACAGTAGGGTGTTTTCTATCCCGAAATACCTAACACTTATTTCCTAAAAATGTATGATTACAATTTCATACATCCATTCAAATTTGTCCCCAAAACAGAATCACACATAAATACCACAACTCTTGACTAATATATCTTTTTGTTTTCATAATTTATTTTAACATATAATTGTCGTAAAAAAAATCTACTTAAAATCTACTCTAAAAGAAAACTTTTCAACTAAAAATGTATTTTTTTAATTTTCATCTTAATCATTTTACAACTTAATTCATATTTGTCTAGATTTTAACGGTTTGTTTTAGTACTGTAAGTAAGTTCACCTAAGAAATTAGTAATAATGCACTTTGCAATTTAACAAAAAAAAAAAATTATAAATTAAATAAAATTATATGTAATAAATTAATTACAACAACTGCAATAATAATAAGTCATTTAAGAACACTTAAGAAATTCCTTTTTAATTTCATTTTTACTCACTCTTCATTATCTTTTAAACTTTTCATTACACTTTACTATGTAATTTTTAAGCTTAATATATAAGTTAATATCCCCATTAAATTATATATTAAAAAAAATAAAACTGTGATAATAAAATAAAATAAACTTATATACTTTTATATAGTAAATATAAGCACCAGTATCTCTTCTATAGTTAAAGTTTAACATTTATGTTTGTATTGTATGTAACACCCTAATTGTTAGTTTATAATAATTAATCATTTAATTTAAAACAAAAGTAAAAAAAAAACAACAACTATACAAAAACACAAATTGAACATTTACTATATATATAAATCATTTAGTTAATCTACTGTGTATGTATGCAATATGTAAAGAATTATTAATCATAAATAGTATTTCACATTAAAACAACAAAAACAAAAAAAGAAACAAAATTTAAATAAAATTGTATATAAAATTATTACATAAAATAAAATGAGTTTTTCTTTTCCAATTGGTTATAAAAAGGTTATGACATTAAGTTCCTGAATCAGATCAAAATTCGAAAATGATTTTTATCTGTCTGACGATCCTAGCAAAATTAATTCCATATTAGAACTGAACTAGAACTGAACCAGAACTAAACTAGAATAACTGAACTAAACCTAAACTTGAACATAACTAGAACTGAACTAAAACTGAACTATAACTGAACTATAACTATAACTGAACTAGAACTGAACTAGAACTGAACTAGAACTGAACTAGAACTGAACTAGAACTGAACTAGAACTGAACCAGAACTAAACTAGAACTGAAATAGAAATGAACTAGAACTGAACTAGAACTGAACTAGAACTGAACTAGAACTGAACTAGAACTGAACTAGAACTAGAACTGAACTAGAACTGAACTAGAACTGAACTAGAACTGAACTAGAACTGAACTAGAACTGAACTAGAACTGAACTAGAACTAGAACTGAACTAGAACTGAACTAGAACTAGAACTGAACTAGAACTAGAACTGAACTAGAACTGAACTAGAACTGAACTAGAACTGAACTAGAACTGAACTAGAACTGAACTAGAACTGAACTAGAACTGAACTAGAACTGAACTGAACTAGAACTGAATTAGAACTGAAATACAACTGAACTAGAACTGAACTAGAACTGAACTAGAACTGAACTAGAACTGAACTAGAACTGAACTAGAACTGAACTAGAACTGAACTAGAACTGAACTAGAACTGAAGTAGAACTGAACTAGAACTGAACTAGAACGGAACTAGAACTGAACTAGAACTGAACTAGAACTGAACTAGAACTGAACTAGAACTTAACCAGAACTAAACTAGAACTGAACTAGAACTGAACTAGAAATAAACTAGAACTGAACTAGAACTGAACTAGAACTGAACTAGAACTGAACTAGAACTGAACTATAACTGAACTAGAACTGAACTAGAACTGAAGTAGAACTGAACTAGAACTGAACTAGAACTGAACTAGAAATGAACTAGAACTGAACTAGAACTGAACTAGAACTGAACTAGAACCGAACTAGAACCGAACTAGAATTGAACTAGAACTGAACTAGAACTGAACTAGAACTGAACTAGAACTGAACTAGAACTGAACTAGAACTGAACTGAACTGAACTAGAACTGAACTAGAACTGAACTACAACTGTACTAGAACTGAACTAGAACTCAAATAAAACTCAACTAGGACTCATGTAGAACTGAAATATAACTGTACTTCTACTTCACCTTAACCGGGATAAGATCAAAATGTATTCCTACTCTATATTCCCTTTTTGGACAAGATTCAGTCTAATTAATTTGGGTTCCAGGACTGAAAGGCATTAGGGAAAATGAAACAAATGGTAAAATTTCTCAAATCAGGAAGGTAATATGTTAAGGTTATCACAATGTGTTGTTCTTAAGAAAA